TTCGTTAAGGGTACTAACTAATCATCAGACTCTGCAAATTCTATTAGTCTTAAGGCAGCCTGGAATCCTGCTGCTAACTTCGCTGCGGTGCTGTTGGCCGCTCTGATTTTTTCAATATTTCCTATGATTGTACTTAGGAACTTCCTGATTTTCCTATCCTGTAGCCAAGAAACTGCTTCTGAAAGTTCATCTGGAGGGAGCTGGATACTTCCTTTGACCTTCTCACCATAGGAGATTCTTGTAACTCTCTTTTCCGGCACTGTATTCTTTCTGATAAGTTGCGGGAAATCTGCTGACATCGGAACTGGCTCCTTGGGTCTGGTTACGATATTTTTCTTCTCGAAACGTTTTCTATACATCTCACATCCTCGATATGAGCTCAGATGAGCCTGACTTCAAAAAATGCAGGTGCGCTTTTCCTCATCTTTTAAGGTGCATAGCTTACTCCTGTGGGCCTGCCCACATTTACAGCATCTTTCAGGGTTGGAACATAGGTGCTGAGAGTGACCATACTCTTGGCACCGGTAGCATTGCCATGGTCTTTTCCTCAGCGCGAATTTTTCAGTCCTTACATTCAGTCCAAACATGTTATTCACATGATGAATCGCAAATTCCTCTGCTGTCTTTTCCTGTTCAACATAGTAGATAAGTAACTTTTCAGATTCATTTTTCCTGCTTCTCCGGAATTGCTTTACTTTGGTGACTGGGAAATTTCTTCTTTAAAGTTCTTGCATAATTGCCTCTTCCTTGACTGAGTTGGGTAAATTCTTCACCACTCTACGGTTTCTCACATTGCAGCTGGGAAGAATGGTATGGTATACTTCGTTCTCTTAATATTTTTGTCATCTTTCTATACTTCTCCACAGTCTTAACATTTACATAAATTGACTTTACTTTCGTTTCTGCTTCGAACTCATTCGTGCAGTTCTGAATAAATAATTCGTGCACTTCCATCCAACCAGTCTTCTGCTGTAACACGTTGGGTGGGGGCGTTTCCTTAGTATCTTTGGCTCCTCCTTCCTCTGGTTTTCCTTCAACATTGAGAATTTCAAATCTGTTTTCCTTCGCTACCTCCATCAGCTCTGCCGTCTGGTTCAATTTCGCTATTTTCCTTGAGGTAACCCATCTACTACCTTAAGTACTAGTCTCAGAATTTTTCTTCTCAATTGCCAAACCTTTTGTTTCCACAATAACTTCTCCTCCATCGACTTTAATCACATCAAACATTCCTTCTATTCCATGAGTTTTTATAATTCCCAATAATCTATGCTTTTCCTGTTCCTTTGGTGGTTAGTTTCAGCCATTTTCTGCGACGTTCCTGATTCTGAGTCCATCGCTGTTTTTACCTTTTTTTGGGCCCACCAGCGGCCGAGCAGTAAAGTCGCAGAACACTGGTAGTTCGGTCCGAGGTTCGAATCCCGCGAACGGGCTGGCTGCATGGGCGTTTTCATGGTTTTCCCTATGTGTAACGTGTATACGAGCCAGTTTCCCTTAGAAAGTCCTCGACGAAGGCATCCCTCCCCTTAGGCAGATAGCCCTAGTGTGCTTTACCGTAATCTCAATAAACCAAACCAAACCTTTTCTGATTTAATTTTCTTTTTCCTTAGAGACATCAGAAAGTCCTCCTTTCTTAGCGGAAATGCCTTGTTTGAATAGAAAGAGTTTATAGAGTCTCTTTCGCTAAATTTGTCATTATCTGAATCGCGTGGTGTACTAAATAAGGACATTGTTTACCCGGCGGTAACTGAAATTACTAGTAAATTCACTGTCCACCTACGTGACTGGAACAGTACAGAACACGATAAGAATGAGCTGCAGCAAACCTACACACTCCACGTCTCAGCTCCGAATCATTACCTGAATATCTGGGATTAAGCCAAAGTGATGTGAGATACTTATACATGAAGTCATCTCATGGCAGCCAATCAGCTGTTGGCACGACTCAGCTTTCCAGATGACATAACCTCGAATTTCGTTTTTGCATCTTAATTAGGCTGGAACAGTCCGTTCTTAATACAAACAGTGGCAGTGGAAAAGAAGTAGGAGTAACTGCTATAGCCCTTTAAAATAAGAACTAAACCTTATTTATGTAAAAATTAGAATTATTTAAAGGAGGAGAGATGATGCAGAAAAAAGGTTACAATAAGTCATATTTTCAACAGATTTATATATAGCTTTGTTCTAATATAGGTATTTTGACACAAAATTGGAGTTTTTCTGAAAAGATATGCAATTTTTTTTTTCAATATTTCAATTCTATGACTCAAATTATGCTTAAATGTTAGATTTTTGTAAAATTTGGTTCAAAATTTATGGAGAAAAATCAAAAATTTATCTTGGCTAATTTTTTTCAGTTTGCACCAAGAATAATTTACTTGGCAAGGTTCTTAATTTGTAACATTTTCCTTTTTTTCATTGTGCACATGTGGAAAAAACGTAATTGTTCATGCTTTCAAGTAATTTTAACAAAGTGTGTAAAACACATTTGGTGTTATTACCGCTAATAACAAATATACCAAATTTCAAAATGCATCAATATGTAAATTCATATATGTCTTACGAAATTTTGAATGAAAAGCTCTAATTTTTTTCAGGTGAGCTTAGAAATACATCTACTTTAAGATGATGGTAGAAACTTTGTTGTTGTTGCTTATGCTCACTTGTCTGACATAGTCAGCCCAAGCCCTTAAAATTCCTCATTGCAAGGAGTGCTAGAATACGCCATTGGCAATAGCCTTGATCAGAGGACAGTGCGATTTAGCTCAGTTCCGCCTCCAATTTTGACGGAGAGCACCCAGGAGGGGAGGTGTCCGTGGATCTTCCACTTCTCTACCCTTCCATCGAAACAAAAGAGAGGACTTTCGGCTCGCCGCGTATTTAGAGTGCCGTCGTACCGCACTGACACTATACATTTACAAACATCCATCCCTTCTCCGGGATTTGAACCTGGGCCCTTCTGCGGGGCAGTCAGCGACGCTAACCACTATACTGGTTTGGTGGCTCGGTAAAAACTTTATAGGTTATAATTCAAAATTTTTTTGAAAAATTTATACAAATTATTTAAAAATTAATCGTAAAAAATGGACGAATTTTATTTAGAATGAAACTTAATTTCAAAATGTGAAAGGAAGAATCATATTCAATTAACATTGAGGAGCTAAAATTTTGAGAGCTTATTTTTTAAAAAACTAAAAAAAAAAAAAAAAAAAAAAAAAGGGCATGTCATTTCAGAAAAAGTCCAGTTTTGTGTCAAAATAGTACCTCTATTAGAACAATGCTATTTATATAAATCTAATACATATCATAAGTCGTGTTTTCAAGGCATGAAAAACTTGAATTTCGTCAATCAGCCCAGCAGGACAGGAGATATAGAACTGTCCCCCCTTTTTTTGGCAGAGTGTACAATTTTTTTTTTTTTTATGTATGTTGAAGGAATAGTTGAATTTTATGTTGCTTATTTTTATGTTAGTAAGTATCTTTAAATGATGCATAATTAATATATAATAAAACACTAAATCTGTATTAATGACCTCTATTCCCTAACTCTGCATGCATTGTCGCATTAATCATTTCAAGTATTTCCTGGTGTGGGGAATCCTGAATCATATTGTTAGATTGGTTTGACACACCACAGCTACAAAGTTGCTGATCCCTGGTATATAGAGACTAATTTTTTATGATTTAAAGGCATTTAAAATTAGCTTAACTGTTGAATCAGCAAGTAACAGAAGAACAAATTGACAGTGTCTGTCATTTTCTGCTCTACATTTTCTGTTAAATTTTAAATCTCCATAGCAAGCTAAATTTTTTTAGCCCTATTTAATGTAGTAAATGCATGGGACATAATACATCCCGAGACCCTAGAAAAAGGTTAAACCATTTCCAGATTCTTGATGGCTTTTGGCTATTCTTAAGTGCATATAGGTTTATATCAATATTTGGCTTACTTCTGTTCTCTGAATCACACAGTGCTTCTGACGATCCACTAGATGCCCTTTTCAACAACATATCCACCTTCTACTTGCAAACATTTTGTCTTACATGCACAATCTAATCATACAGTCTTTAAAATGTCTGTCTGCTTCATATAAGGATTAACCCTTTGACGGTTATGGAAATGAGCAGTTTCCATTTACTTAATTTGCACAGCATTAGGAGTAAACAGTAGTCGAAAGTGGCAGCTGTTTTCCCCCGCCGTTCTTCCGAAAATGTCACCTTTCTCTGGCGATGCCGTAGATAGCTCACCTCGCGCGTTTTAAAAATTTCTTAAAGTATTTGTAGTACATAAATAACAGTTTTTACGTACTTTAAAATAATTATTAAACAGTAAATTATAAATGATTATAACCAATTATATAAATAAATAATAGTTAATTATAAATATAAGACAAATATTAAATTGAAAGGACTAAATAAATACAACTAATGTAAAACTTTATGAAGCACAGTATAAATACAGTAATTACCTAAAAATCTTTTTGTGTGTGATATACTTTAAAACATGGAATTGCACATAATGGGGCATTACAGTCTTTGCAATACGTACGTGTTTCAAGGCGAATTCTTTTTCCATTAGCATCATTTTTGCTGCAACATACCACACATCGTCTAGTAGGTTCTTTCTTTTTTTCTGTAGGTGGAATATAATCATGAAAGTGGCGTGCTGACAATCTTAAAGTATTCAAAACTGTTTCAGCAGGTTTTAATTTCAAATGTCTATGAGTGTGATATTTCTCAACAATTCTTTCAGCTAGTTCAATTCTGAATTCCAAATTTGATTTTTTATTCCCCCTTTTTTTTCCACAGCTGAAAAGCATTAAAAAATGTTATGTCCAATAAATAACGAAATATTTTCTTGTAATATTTCCTTTGTCGAGATTGGGTTACATTATAGTATCCAATTTGTTGATCCATGCGATCTACGCCGCCCATCGTATTATTATAATCTAAAGCAATCTTAGGCTTCTCTATTTCCACATTTTTCAATTTATTTGGGACTTTTAACGGATTTCAGGATTATGAATTGAGCTTATAAAATGAACATATTTTTTATCTCTCCATCGCATGATCATCATCTTACCTCTTTGATAGGCAAGTAAGTCTCCCTTTTTAAGCTTTTTTGTTTTCAGTTCCTTTGGTAGATCTTTTCTGTTAGGTCTTAATGTTCCAAAAAAATCAGTTTTAGATTTCAATAACATTTCCCCTAACTCGGGAGAGTTGTAGTAATTATCCATAGTAAGGCAGTATCCTTTGTTTAATAGTGGCTTAGACAATGTCAAAACTACCTGAGTAGAAAACGAACATTCTTTATTTTCTTCAGATATATCTGTGCTTTTACCGACATAAATTATAATAGACCACACATATCCACTATGAGATTCACATAACATAAACATCTTGATACCAAATCTGGCCCTTTTAAGAGGTAAGTATTGGGTCCAAGAAAGTCTCCCTTTATACAGCAATAGACTTTCATCAATACATGTGTCTTGTTCGGGTGTATAAACTTCCGAAAATTTTTTCTGTAAGTAATTTAAAACGGTCCATATTTTTTTTAGTCTTGGCTGAGGATGAGAAGAATCAGTGCTTTCATTCCTATCAAAATGAATAAATTGCATAATAAGGTCAAACCTTCTCGAACTCATGATGTTAGAAAAACTAGGAGTTTCAATTAACTTTCTTTTTGACCAATACATTCTTACAGTTGGTTTTCATAATTATTCCTTGCAAAATTAATATTGCAAAAAATACTCTCAATTCATTTGAATTAGTTTCACTCCAATGATGAGTTCTGGAATGTTCTTTGCTCTTAAATTAATTTAAATTCTCAGCAGCAAAAATGTTGGTTTCAGTAACAATATGATTTATAAATCTCATCAGTAAAAAACAGCTCAAAATACTCCTAGTGGATCAGAAATATTTGTCACGCAAGCTTTCATGCCCACATCACCAGCAGTAAAACTAAATCGGCTTAGGAGTGTGAGGGAAACTTGAATCAATTTTACACCACTGTCGAAACACTCGAAAAATCTTCCTCATCGCTTGAATCGTCTTCTGAGCTTGATATACTGGTGAACAAAGTCTTCATCAGACTCAAAACTTGATAAGCTTTCTGTATCACAATCATAATCATCATCTAATATCTAACTTTCGCTTTTGAGCCATTTTACTGTACAAACGCCCTAAAAAATGCGCCAAAATACGCATAAAAAGAACAGGGTCAAAAAAAAAATGTCCCCCTTCATTATGCAAAAGAAATTCATGGAACTCCGTACTGCCATCTGTAGACAGTAAAAGTAACTAAATTTTGCGAAGTAGGATTCGTTTGAAACAAAACAATCAATGCAGAATAATAATGGCGAACGAAGTCAGCTCGTCATCGCGCATTGGGGAAAAATTTCACTACGCGGGTAGTGCTCGTTACTAACCATTTCGGTCAAAATCTTGCTCCCGAGCGGAACTCGTTTGCGCGCATTATGAAGCACGATTCGATTGCGAGCTGAACTCGTTCATAACCATCAAAGGGTTAAAAATTGACCTTGTAATTTTGTGAGGTACTTGATTTTTAATATACTATGTGGTTGAGGTTTCTATTTTGTAATCCAGTTCCTTCAGGAAACACAATTTCTCAAAACTGTATAATGGTATTTTCTGAAGTCTTTCTTAAAGGCAGGAGCTAAACTATCATGAGTTGTTTCATAAGTTTAAAGATACAGTGGTACCTCGATATACGAGTGTTTTGAGATACGAGACGTCGAGCGAGTGATATTTTAATTGAGTTGAGAGCAAGATTTGAGATACGAGGAATCGCACACTACACCGCTGCACACGGCCGCAACATGCACGCGCATGTTGGTGTCATGTGCAGCGTCTAACAGTTTCTCCCACCTCAGACTAGACTTGTTTCTCTGGGAAAATCCATGGGTCTGGAGGTGGATGAGAGAGATGTGAACGAACTCGTCGAGGAGCAGTCTCAGGAGCTGACAACCGAGGACTTACACGATCTACATTTGCAGCAGCATAAGGTGGTTCAAAGAAAGATTAGTTTTGAAGAGGAGCCAGAGATGGAGGAGGTTATTCCTATAAGAGATATAAAGGAGATCCTGGGAATGAGGGAGAGAGTTGTAGAGTTCGTGGATAAAAATCACCCCGAGAAAGTTCCAGCTGGTCGTGCATCGGAGTTGTTTAACGAAACTTGCCTAACTGATTTTCACAATATCTTAAAAGGGAGAAAGAAACAAACCTCCTTGGACAGTTTTTTTTAAATAATCTGCTGGTGAAAATGAGCAAATCGTGACGAAAAAAGCGAAGACCAGTGACGAAAATTAAGCGCTTGTGTAAGCACTTCACTTTTTCTTTTAATTATGTTTTTATAGAATAAGTATTTGTCATTTATAAATAAATGTTTCTTCTTGTAAATACATTTTTCTTATTCAAAAACTCTTAAAAAAAACAACAACTGAGGTGGTGTTTTGAGAGCTGGAATGGATTAATGGCATTTCAATTAATTTCAATGGGGAAAATTGCTTTGAGATACGAGCAATTTGACATACGAGCAAGGTTACGGAACGAATTAAACTCGTATGTCGAGGTACCACTGTATACTTTATCTGAATTATGGCTTCCTTTCAAAAGTCTTCACGAATTTCTGTATACATTTCTTCATTTGAATTTCCATTTATGTAGGACATCACAAAATCTAACTGGTGATGTTTTAGTTTTCTACAGTGTATACTAAAATAGTTCATATAGAATTTAATCTAATAACTGGGGGAAAAATTTCAGTGAAGTCAAAACCAGGGATTTGATCACACCGTTTTGCAATTTGCTTAGCTGTATATTTTTAAGTTCTGCTGTCTTGGTTGCATTTTAGTTTAAGTATGCATTTAATATCAAAAACCTTTCTCATTTTCAGGTCTTTATACAAGTTTTCAAGTTTATAATGAGAGAATTATATTTTGATAGCATTGCATTATGCCAGTTTTCAGCGTATGGACTATTTAAAACTTCTTTGCAGTATTAATGTTTTCCTGAACATTTTAAATTTCATCATTTTTATTTTTTAATTTTAAAGTAATATTCTTTTTTATGTTTTCTGGGTAATTTGTTTTTATTTATTATTATTATTATTTTTTGATGGTCAGGCCCCCTTATAATCAAAATAGGAAGTACAGATTTGCTCTTAATGTACCTACCTACTATTATGATTAAAATCATTTTCATTTTCCTCTCCATGTTCAACATCATGGGGTGAGTGCTTGTTTTCAAGTGGTGATAATAATTCATCACAATTTTCATTTTCATTCATTCATTTATCATTTTCTTTTCAGGGACCAGAGGTGAGAGGAATTTAAAATAAAATCTAAATCATTACAGTGGTTTATGTACTCATAAATTTTACATTTTTGTTTATTGTTATTTTTCATGAACCAGAATCCTAAATTTTATACACTTTTGATTAATCAGAATATCCAATAAAAAATACATTCCTTTTTTCCCGCTTGTGGCTTTTTATGTAGTGAAAGTGCTTTTTTCACCAAAAGTTTGGAAATTAGAAGCAGCTGTCACTGGGCCAGTCACCACATCCTGGATTTTTTGTTTTGTTTTGTTGTTGTTGTTGCTTAAGTCACATGTAAGGCAATGTTTTTGAAGCAAGCCATATTGCCAGCTTCAGTTCAGAACTTGCTGGGCAGATTTTATTGTGATAATAAACATCATGCCTTTGAGACAAAAGTGAGATTTTTCTTTTTCACATGCACCTTTCGGAGCTGGATTATATGCAGCAGTTTGTGTGTTTTATTCCTGCATCATTAAGAAATTTATTAAATTCTTTTCTTAGATAGTCTAACCCATTATCCATTTGGAGAACTTTGATTTTGAAATAAACTTTAAGCAGAAGTTATGAAATCTATAAAATCTTCTTTATTCTTAAATTTTAGAACAGGGGGGGGGGAAGAACATATCAAGAATTATTGTCAATAGAAGGCATAAAATTAAAAGAGCTAGCAATTGATTTAATTCTTATGGGGCCAGAATCAGAATGAATATCATTTAATAATTCATTACTTTTGTAGTTAGATTCTATTCTGGTCTTTATTAGTTTCTGGCTGCAGAATTTTGCCATCTGCATAATATCGGTGATAATGTTTTATCATTGGCATGGTTTCGATTTGTAATTTTTTTGTGTCAAAATAGTCCTTACTTATCTTTTGAATGGAAACTATATTTGCTGTCATTATCAGTTTCAGTCGACTGAACTTAGCTTATTCAAGATTCGTACGGTCCTTAAAAGTCCTTTGGTTTTTTTTTCGGAATTGATTTTCAGTCCTAAAAGTTCTTATTTCAGCCAAAATCGCCAGAAGGTACTTAATTTTAAGCATTATGGAGGAATATTTTTGGTGATTCACTGATAAATATGGTTGTATTTGAATGGGTTCATGGGTTATAATTGGTTCTTCTTTCTAATATAAATGGTGGGATACTTGATTTCTGAGCAAGAAGTGAAGCATAAGCATTTCAAAATTATTTTATTTTTTTTCTAGATGTTGAACAACTTTTCTCTTTTGGGGATGTGAATTCTTTTATGAGATGGTTCTAAATTTGATGAATTATCAGCATTTTGGTGATTTTAAGATAAGTTTCTGTAGAAAATTTTTAATTCAGAAATCTGGGAATTTTTTGTAGATATTTTTCAAAACATTATAACATTGATATATTTTATTAAAATGGTAATATATTGTTATTGTATTCAAGAAATAACATTAAAATAAAACATTTTTATATTTTGCTGTCATATTATAAAGTGACATTTGGCGACTTATTATACAATATTTTGAATCTGAAAAATAAACAAAGTAATAAAGGTAAAAATATATTTCAGGGTATCCCTTGGCGAAAATTGGTGATTTTTTTGGTGCCATTCCTGTTTACGTCCTATGCCCTCCCCAGTAAAATGGCATCCAAAACATAATGCAATAAAACATGATTAAAACAAAAAATATATAATCTTAATAATCAACATTTTAAATCAAACAAGGAAATAATGTAAGAATGGAAATGCATGTTATCTAATCTACGCAGGTACAAGAGGGAATATCGACTTACCTTATTTAAAAATTTCTATTCCTTTGATATGTTTGAAACACAGAACTTTTTAACATCATCCAAAAACTATTTAAAATTATCTAAACTAGAATCTGCATACTGCTGTTGCCACATTAATCTTTAAAAGCAAAAATGAAAAATATCTCCTGTACTACCAGACTGTTGGTAGCATTTCTTGTGTAAAGCACAAAATAAGCAGTGTTCTTCCTAACCAACATCCGTACCTAAGTAAGCCCTTACAAATATTTTCCCTTCAGTCAAAATCACCGCAATCACGCATTACAACCAATCACATCATAACAGGGTTTCCATAACATTCAACTACTCAGGTTACCATAAATGAAGCAACAACTTGGCAATAATAATGCAAGGGGTACCCTAAAATATAGATTAACCATAATAAATGCTATGAAGCTCAATTTACAAAACAATTCTTAGCAAAAGCAAAATAGCTATGCAATTAATTAATGTCTTCTTTTACAATTTTTCATGATAAAAGAGTTTTTCTCATGTAGTTGTCTCAGAATATTCGGAATTCTTACAATATTCAGTAGTTTTCTCTATAAAATTAATTTTACCTTTTTCTTTTGATCCCCCCCCCCCAAACTATTTCTGGCTTTTTGCTGTTACAGAATTGGTAATGGTAATTTTTCTTTAGGATTTTAGACATTGCAGCTTGGAAACGTTTATATGGATTTGAAGGTAAGATTTATAGACCCACGATTCTAGAAGATTCCTGAAAAATGTCTTCATGGTATCAATGTGTAATGTACTTTACATAAAGTTCGTTTTGAATTTCTTACTTTTTAGAGAATTTTTGGAAAAACAGTGAAGACACAATATTTGAATAGTCTTCTGGTAGTAGAAGTCTTTTTCTTAATATGTTTATCTTCCCTTTATTTTCTCTAATTTTCACTAGTCACAAGCTTAGAAAATATCAAAAATGCTTCTAATTTTATCTCATGGGCAGGCATTTATAGAAAGGAATTTTTCTATTAATAAAGAAATTGAAAACTGGACATTTTAAAAGGATTCATCTTATAGTCTCAATGCATCATACACAAAGCTAGCACTAGACATTTTCCCACCTGATGCAATCTCTGTGGATCCTTAATTCTGCTGCCTAGTTGTATTCCTAAATTTTGCACCTAGTGCCTTCCTAAATTCTAAAAGTTTTGCCATTTCTAGATTTTGTTGCTTGGTGTGTCACTAAATTCTGAAAATTCTGCCACACCGACTCTGTAACCAGCCCTTACCATGTGTCATTTCATATTTATTCTAAATGTTCATATTAATAAAGAAATAAAATTATTGGCTTTTTCTATACATTCCAAATGCATTTAGTTTTTTAGAATAACAGAAATCTTTAATTAAATCCAAAAATTCCGAAATGAAGAGGAAACATATTGAAGAAAGAAACTGAATCAATAAAAAGAAAAAAAAAATATTATTCAAAGATATTTTCAGTTGTTATTATGTAAATTAATCAGTTGTTTATAATTACAGCCTTTACTATAACTTCCCCTTTCCGTTCCCTAATCAGAATGCTAATCACTTAAATAGTTTTTAAACTGAGGTTTTGGAATTGTAAGAGAGAGTGCATTGGTCTCTACTTCATGCTGACATTTGAATTTCACCTTTGTTAAGATGATAGAGTTACTGAGCTAGCTTAGATTAAAATTAAATTCTGTAGTCTTTGACTATAAGGCCATATTTTGAAAGTTTGAATTTGACTGTTCCTGTTTAGTTACATCGCCACAAGCTGTATTTAATTTTGCTAGCATAAGAATATGCCTTTATGTTCTAAATTTGTTTTAAATAAGAGGTTTATTTAAACCTTTATCTGACTTTGTAATTACTTTCAGACATAGTAATAATTTGTTTCACGTCTGTCAGGGATCAATATCATAAATTACATGTATTTTATACTTTGTGATTTTAATAGGGCTTTTTTAACAAATATTGTTAAAAAATAAGTAAAATTTAATAGTGCCCATGTAAATCCATAATAACTAAGGTTATCTAACTACTGAATTTAATTATTTATAACTAACTGCTTACCCTTAAAAATTATTAAAGCGAGTTATTGCCTTTCATTGATCCCTACTGTGGTCACAAGATAAAAAAAAAAAAATGTAAAAATTTATATAAAACGCATTTTTCACATCTAGTGTGACTTAATACAAAACAACCTATCACCTCTGGTGCTTTTAGTGGCTTATTGAATTTTTAATGTATATTAACTGGGTTGCAACCGGCGGAACTCTACACGAAGCTACTACGCTAACTGCATCAGACAAAGCCTAACTAACTACCAAAACTTGCCAACTGTGCCTACATCAGGCCTTTCAGGTTTGTTCTGACCAGCAGGTCTCTCTCTAGGCAAGCAGCTGACTCTCTCTAGCCAGTCTTTTGTTATGAGTCATTATGATTTTACTTCTCATTGTAACATATACCACTTGAAGTCTGACTTTTGACTTCCTTCATAGAGTCTTGATAGATACTGACTTCATAGAGTCTTGCTTAGTAAGTCAAACTGTTGCCAATGGCTTTTCGCAGTAATAAGAATTGATACCCCATGGTATCAACACTGTCAGGCAGAGCTTGAGGATAAGCATCAGTTTTGACTAAAAGCATAAATAGCACAATAATTAATTCTCAATATGGCATAAGCAATTTACTAATCTAGACTGAGCAAGTATGTGACCCCCCCCCAAAAAAAAGAATCAACATGAAGTAACTGTTAGTAAAACGTAAGTAAAATTTCACTTACCATCTTTGAAATTTGTCCAACTATTATAGGTGTAAAATATTTAATGCTACTTGATAAAATTCATAAAGTTTATTTTACTCTTAAACTTATTAATAATAATGCTCATAGGTCCTTAATTTTTTTCATTAATGGTCCTTAAAAGTACTTAAATTCTGTGTGGAGATGCATACGAACCCTGTATGGGGTAGTTATACAAACACCATCTTTCTTTTTGAAGAATATTTCTGTTTTAAAGAAATAATATAGTTGCCTTTTTCATCTCTAGGCAAATAAATTTGTTCATGAAATAAGGGGGAGGAGAAGATTAGACAAAAATGATTGCACGATTTTATGGTCCAATCTTTGTTATTGTTTTTTTAATAATGGTTGCATGAGTGATGCTGATGAAGACAGACAGTTATTGTCAAGACAGAAGCCAGACAAAGCTGATGTCACTTGGCATAAAGAAAATATACGAAAGCAAAATGTGCACCAATTGGTGCTCCAATAGAAAAGTATAGAAATTTCTTTTCTGTTTAAAAATGATTTGATAAACAAGTCTGGGATTGTCTTGCAGGCATAAGTTATATTGTTACTTGTGTTGTATAATAATGCATATTTTAATACTTTTTGTTTATGCCAAAAGAAATTCTAACATTTATGCATTGCTTGTCTTATCTTTTTGCTTGATGATTAATTTTGATTTTCTAAATTTGTTTTCATTTTATTATAATACTTTGGCAGTTTTATGCACTTTTTTATGAGATAACTTTAATATTTTTATGTGTGTGATCACGTGTTCCTTTGCTTATTAATTAACAGGTATTAGAAACTGTGAAAAAATTCAATATTGATATGAGCAATCTATGCCAGTTTCTACCTCAAGAGAGAGTTACAGAATTCTCAAAGATGAATAAGAGTCTTAGACTAGAGAATATGCTTCAAGCAGTTAAGTATCACATTGTATTAATACAATCATTTGAATAGCAAAACTTACAAATTATATCCATTTTTGCATTATATTTAAGAATTATTTTTTTAGTATTTCTCATATGGAAAAAGAGTAAGTTCCTAATCTCATTGTAAGGCATAAATTGCAATTAAGAGCTTTGTGCCTCAAGTTACACTGTAGTACATAAAATTAATGTGACTGGGGAAAAGAGATGTGGTAAAGATATGGGTACTTTTTGAAGGTACTAACATCAGAAAAAAAAAAAAAAAATCTATATTTTTTTCTGATGTTAGTATGTTATGTTTCTGATGTTAGTACGTGATGTTAATCTGATGTTTCTGTATAAGATGAGTTATAAGGACCAGATAATTACTGTATATTCTGGTGTATAATGTGCACTTTTATACAAAAATAAGATCAAGGTTTATGGATGCATGTTATATGCCAAATATAAAAATGGTCATAACTTAATAACCTTAAAAAATTACCAATATCGGATAACGTGAAAAATTCGTTATTTTGTTATATTCATCTTCCATTTTATCTTCAGTCACATCATAGAGTTCTGTTTTTTTCCCTCTTCACCATCACTGTTACAGTGATCCATAAATAGATAATCATCTTCTGTTTAATCTAGATTGTTAGATGTACTACATTTTTTAAATGACTTTTGAATTATGTTGGGTTTAATTTCGTTCCATGCTTTTATTATCCACTCACATACTATTTCTAGACTGGTGCGACACATTTACCTCTTTTTTGTAAAGGTTTTTTCACCTTCTAATGTCCATCTATTTTACTGTTGTTTCAAATTTTCTTTGAACGTTTTATTGATACACACATCTAAAGGCTGAACTGATGGTGTTAATACACCTGGAATAACAGCCATGGTTGTATTATGCTCTTTCACCAGTTTCTTCGTATTGTCCATTAGATGGGATCTGAACATGTTTGAAACTAATGCCTAAAGCAAACAAATTGTACAAGATGAAACTACCAATCACTTGAAGAAAAGAAGGAGTTCAGCTGAAAAATTTGAAAATGAAGTACAGCTGATTAATTAAGTATTTTGTCAAAAACTTCAAATAAAACAAATTTAAACACATTGCATTTAACTTACTTCTAACTACTGGCCTTAAATTACTTTCCATAAGAAACAGCGCTGAAACTTCTTTGAATTTACCAGAGCATTATAGATGGCTTTTATATAGTTAAATCGATAATATCCACAAACACCATAATTCCATTGATAACATGTTCATTCATTAAAGCCATGGTTTCTTTAAAACTTTGGTCTTAACTATTTGCAAAGCCACAGAAATGTCTGTTATGGTGGACATAAGAGAGAGAGAGAGCAACAGAGACATTGATTCTGTTTGGTCAATGCAGTGGATTGGTGTTGCAAGTATTAATACATTTTATTCTTGGTAGGTTTTGAGGTTTATAATTAAGATCATAGTATTGCTTTAGCATCAAAATACAGTACAAAGTCAGAAATCTGGAGGTCCATTATCTGGAATGACCACCGGACCTCAAAACCACCAACAACGTTTATCCGGACCTCAAAACCACCAACTACGTTTTTTTGGAGGCTTTACACATGTGCATTTGATTCCCTCCTCCGGGCATAATAAAATATCTGGAGAGTTCCTAATCTTAATTTCACTTTGACACTAAATAAAATACCTTGTTATTGAAGAAACAACCATTTTAGCATAAATTTGTATGATCAGTAATTTGGCTCTGTTGCTGTGTATTTGCTTGGCACATATCTCAAACCGAAACATTCCACATAGATACATCATTGATCTGACGCCAACCTGGTGAATCATTATTTATTATACTTTTATTTCATCACTGCATGTTTATCAAAACATGACAATTCGAGTAGACTCGTGTAGCAATGCCTAAACAATTTTTTTTTTTGTGTTAGTAATTGCATAATAAAGCAGTATGGTAACCTTTTATGTTGACATTACACTTGGTGATAATTACAGATTTAAGTTAAATGCGCTAAAAAGTGTTGACGAGGAAATATTTTTCAAAAATTTCTGTCCATATGCTAAAAATAAATTTTGTTGATGATACTCATAAACATAAGATTACATTTAGGGCTATTTGAATGAAGAATAACTGATTTGTTATTCTCATAAACCCAAAACCAGCGCCAGGGCTCGTATGACCACGCCGAGTTGCAGAATAACAGAACCCACAGAGACTGTATCATGCAGTAAGATATATAGTGCTGACCCTCAGTAAAGCTTAAGTATATGTGGGAATTTATTTATTCACAACTCTGATAAGCCTTAAGCATGTGCAAGAAATAGACATAAGTATAATAAATAACTTAACTAATACAATTCAGGCTTGATTGTCTCAATGTGTGATAGAAGCGAGATAAAATTTAACAGAAAAACTTGTCGTTAGTCGCCAAGCTCATGATGCCAAATATGTATAGTGAAGGATAGCTAAATTTGATGATGATAGCCGCTAATTTTAAAGGTTTGCGGATATCACAAAACAAAGGTGAAATTTTTCAATTAATGGATTTTGTAAAGAAATGTGGAGAAGTGGTAATAAATGAATTTGATATAAAAGAAGTTTTTTTCATTGTAATGACAATGCTTCTCAATCATCAATCAATTAATGAATGGCGAAATCTGTAGTATGGTTCTAGATCCAGAAAATTCTGCTACCAATAGTGAAGGGAGTGACATAGAGGTTACTGAAAACGAGAAAATTTCAATTGACAACTTAGTCGGAATTCTCGAAACAGCAGTTACAGAACTTCAACAATGTAACTGAACAAGAGATTGTGTCTGTCTACAGAATTAAAGAGAAAGTATTAGCACAAAAGAAATGAAGCAACTTAAACAACTTGCACTGAAAGAAATGTTTAATAAGGTAAACAAATAAATATTAAGCTATTTTTTTGTAAATTTTGATACCCTTTAGATCATAAATACTTCATTATTTCATTAATCGTGATTTCATAATTTTAATTTTAATTTCTACATGCCATCTCACTAGATTTAAACTAATGATCTAATATCTGGAAAAATCCCAAATCTGGAAATGCCGAAGTCCCGACGAGTCCGGATTTTGGACTTTGTACTGTATATTTCATCGTATAATTTAAAAAGTAAGCTTGAAATGTTCTGGTGTGCATTATGCGCCAGATATAAAAATGTTAGATTTAAAAATAAGAAAATGATAAGCATACAAAAATTACATTTCTGCATAAACCTAGGTGTTTATTTAAAAGAAATGACATACTACTTTATGAACTTAAAAATGCTCATTATCGGATTATATGAAAAGTTCGTCATATTCATCTTCCGTTACATCTTGAGGCACTTTGTTGAATTCTAGTTCATCTTCACCATCACTATTACTCTGATCCATAAATAAATGATCATCTTCTGTTCCATCTAGATTGTTATATATTCTACATTTTTTAAATGACTTTTATGTCGGATTTAATTTTACTTCATGCTTTTATTATCCACTCGCACACTTATTTCTAGACTGGTGTGACACATTTATCTCTTTTTGTCAACTTTTTTTTCACCTTCTAATGTCCATCTATTTCACTGTTAAATTTTCTTTGAACTTTTCATTGATACACACATCTAAAGGCTGAACTGATGGTGTTAAAATCCACCTGGAATAACAGCCATGTCTGTATTACACTCTTTCACTAATTTCTTATTATCCATTAGATTAGATCTGAGCATGCCCCAAATTAAAAGACTTAATTCTTTAAGAAAACATGATGCTTTTGTCAAGTATTTATTATCCACAATTTCAGACTATTTTTTTTTCAATCCATTCTTTCTCTTGAATATGAAAAAAACAACATTATTTGGGAAATCACATTTGATATGAAACATTACTGGAGTTATCCATAGTTCTAATAAGTGACAATAAATATTTTTTATGTCTTTACAGTTTGGTAACATACTTCTGGAAATTTATCAATTTGTTGTCCAAATCTTTCAGATGCTTTTGTGGAACTTGTTTTTTTCTCGCCGAATTAAATTATTCCTCGCCATAAATCAACTACACCAACTCAAAGTTATTTTAAAGTTTTCACTTTTAAGTGCATTCTTTTTTTTCTTTCTTTCTTTCTTTCTTTCTTTCTTTTTTTTTTTGTAATGATTAATCCATTCTGATGATTTTATAGAACTTGCTTTGCAACATTTTTTTCTAGGATAGGTCATTTCCTTATTGCTTTAAACAAAGTGCATTTATTCTTTGACATATTAATTTTATTGTGAATTAATATGCCAAAGATTTTTCTTCCATTCACGTATGGAGCTTTTGCCAACACGAAACATTCTTGCTGCAGCACAATTTTAATTTTCTTTCAAAAATTAAAGAACTTTGCATCTAAAACCAGCAGTATGTTTGTTTCATTTTGCAGGAGCCATATTTACTATTAAAAAGACACTCGATCAACTGTGTTTCAACTAAAGGAGTAAACATCTGACTTCTAATTCTGTCAATTCATTCAGGTTGGAAATGCATTCATACCCCAAATTATGTGCCCTTTTCGCGAAACCCTTTAGTAGCATTCTTCTTCACATCTCCATTGAATACAACAAAGCCTCTTTGCAGAGTTATTTATTCTGTCAAACATTTCTCTCCACAGCCATATTGTTCCCTTTATTGCTTGTCAGTTCGGTATACTATTGCTCGAAAGCTTGTGTAAAATCTTTGAATTAATGACTTCAAAAAATAAGAGCATTGCACATGTACCTTTCAGATTTCTTCTCAAAGAAAAGGTTGCATGTTATACTGCGAATACACTTAAAAGAAAAATGTGGTTTGAAATTACAGGTGCATATCATGCATAGGTGTATGTTATACACTAGAACATATGGTGCACTGCACAAAAAAAAGGGGGGGCAGTTTTATATCTCCCATTCTACTAAGCTGACAGAGGAAATTCAAATTGCATTTTTCATGTCTCCAAAGCATGACTTATGATATA